GGTAGTGGTAAAGAACATTCCTGCCAATGCAGGAGATATAAGAAGACTCAGGTTTGATCCCTTGGTGAGGAGCGTCCCTTGCGAGAGGGTACAGCAGCACACTCCTGTACTCTTGCCTGGCAAATCCTACGGACAGAGGAGCCTCTTGGGCTACAGTCAGCAGGCCTGCAAAGAGTTGGAACAATGGATGTGACTTAGAATGCATGCATGCACCTATATTTAACCATTTAATCTCTTGTTTACTATGGGTTAGAGCCAGTACATTCCCTTGTAAGGAGTAATACAGTAATAACTCTGACTTATCTCTGAACCCGCTCACTAAAAAGCTTAGTGTTCATCCCAGGTGCACAATACAATGCTGTTTATGGTGACAAAATTGTACATCAGAAAAACATGGCATAAAATTACAGGAAATACTAAGCAATGGACTGAGAAAAATAAGAGGAGATAAATCTAACTAACACTTTGATAGAGAAAAACAAATCTTTAGCGGAACTTATGAACATTTGAAGAGATTACTTGGAAGAGTTGGACAAAAATGGACAATCAAAAATGGAGGATGAAACAAAAACTAGTGAGTACACAAACTACATGAATTTAATAGAAACCTTTAGCAGTGCCTTTTATTAGCTCACTGCTCTATCGTGTGCTCCTTGATTGACTAAAAGAATTAACATACAACTTTCAAATACCTTCATCAGAAAGAGAATAGTTGTTTCCAATTGTAAACTCCCCTTCTATTGTGGCTTGAAACCTATTCACTGCAAATCTTAAAACAATAATTTGTAGCACTAAGAACACTACCAGTATTCCTTTTTGTGACCGGGATTCAGCTTTGTTTAACATGTTCCATCCACCTAGTTCACTGCAGAGCAGTTCTCATTTATTGGCTATTTACTCTGAGCCTGGAGAAGAAAGCCCAGAGACACACTGAAGGACCAGAAAACCAACATGCTTCCTCTTCCCCAGTCCCACCTAAAAGTGCTTTAGTCAGGTAGTATTATGGACTGAATGTGTGTTACTCAAATTCATGTGTTGTTTCCTGAATTGCCAAGTTACTGTGTTTTGAAAAGGGTTCTGACTTTTTAGCATGCCATGGTCTATAGCCCACCAGACTCCTCTGTCCATGGGATTTTTCAGGCATGAACAGGAGTAGCTTGCTGTTCCCTTCTCCAGGTAATCTTCCAGACCCAGGGATAGAACCCAGGTCTCTCCCATTGGGAGCAGATTCTTTACAAACTGAGCCACCAGCAAAGTCCATTAAGGTTAAATGAGTTCTTAGGGTGGAACACTCATCCAATAGGTTTAGTGTCTCCATGAAGCAAAACACCAGACAATTTTCTCTTCTGTCTCTCTGTCTGTGTGTCCTTTCCTCTGTCTCTCTTCCTGAACCCCCACCCTGTGTGAGGATGCACAGAGAAGCCATCCTGGGAAGTAAGAGTTGTCACCACAGCCTCACCTTACTGGTGCCCTGATCTAGGACTTCTAGCCCCCAGAGCTGTGAGGAAATAAATTTCTGTTGTTTTTTCCACTGAGTCTATTGTATTCTTTTATGGCATTCCTAGCTGACAAATACAAAATATGTAAATCCATGGCTAATTCATTTCAATGTATGACAAAAACCACTGCAATAAAAAAAAATCATTTATTTTGGAAATTTAAAAAAAGAAAATGAATGAAAGGAAATTGAAAAAGTTAGTGCACTTCTTAGGAATCTTTGAGATTTCACAATACTGATCCTATCTTCGATTTCCACATCTTATGAGCTGACGGCATCTTTAACCTAGAGAGTGTTATTTGAAGTTTGGCTGATGCAGCCCTCTTGTTGAAAGGATAGTTTGGCCCAGTCACTTACGCGAAGGTAACTTCTGGGAGCCTGGCGGGCTACAGTCCATGGGGTCGCAAGTGTCGGAAAAGACTTAGCAACTAAACCACCTCCAACACAGTACTTACAACCTCATTGAACATTATTGTGGAAAGCTTATGCATGTGGTGGGTCAGGATGGAGGCACGGCTAAACGTTTCTCTAGGGGACTTCAGGCGGACGCCAAAAAGGTATCGACCACAGAGCCAGCAAAATTCGCCTTGGCACAGGAGCACATCTGACATGACCAGCAGCAGGAGCAGGCAGGGCCCTGCTAAAATAAAAACATGAGCCATTCTTAGATGATCTAGTCACCTGAGGTTATCAAATCCATCCTGTGGAGGGAAGCCTTCTCTTTGCCTGTTGCTCTGAGCAAGTGGGGTGGGGAAGAAGGAGTGCCTTCTGTGTGAATTTAAATGGATGATGATATTTGCACAGATAGATATTTGGAGAAGTAGGTTACTCCCCGCATTTTGTATTGCTCCCGGAAGTATTTCTGTGCTCTGCAAACGTTTGGAACTTAATTCTGAGCCAGAGTGTTTAGGCCATTCTTTTAAGACAGTTTAATGTGGGGACTCTGCAGACTCTGAGCAGCGAGGCCCTCTAGGAGTTTGTTATTTTTTCACTGTACATTGACTAGTGCTTGAATTTTAGACACTGAAATGACAAGAAGTGTACTGTTGATCTGTGTGGTTTACCATCATGCTGGGGTAAGAGTAAACATGTGACTGACTGATCGCTACTATTGAGTACAGAAAGAATACTAAGAGAAAAAGGACAATGTACCTTGGATCTGCTAACTCACCTTCGTAAACCCATGTAGGTCTTTGATACTTTCCCAAAAGCTTTAAAACATCTTAAAATTTGTGTTTCACAGTAACCCTATGAAATAGCCTTCATCTTCACTATGTTCATGAAGTTATGTTAATGAAGATATAATGACTTGGAGAGGGCAAGTAATTTTCCCCAGGACCCATTATTAGCAGATGGAGGTGATTGGGCACCAATGCAGTCATCTGTCCACTTTCTGAGGTCACATCACACATTCCTGTGGGCTTTTGGTCTGCATGTGTGTAACCAGGACCACATCAGGAGCTGTGATGACTCTGCTTAAAGCAAAAAATATTTTGTCTTTGACTGCAAGACAGCAGTGACCCTAGAACATTGGTTTTATCCACTTGTTCTGCTCTGTCTATAAAACACTCAGTGTTAGTCTTTGACAATTATCAGTGTGGGGGCTTGGTTCTCCTGCTAGACTTTCTTCTAGGGAACTTGACAGCTCCTATACTTTTATACATCCTTAATCTTCTCATTATGTTTTTTTCTTCGAGACAATGGCAGGTAAATCTCCAGAAGGTCATCCAAGAACATTATCTGCTCAGCACCCAGGACCCCATCAGTGGCTCTGCGGATACGGCCTGGCCTTTCCTGACTGTGACGTTTCAGGGAGAAAATTCATCTATCTGGTCGGGAGCACATCCTG